CATCTGCGGCAAAGGGACCTTAAAATATTCTTTGCTGGAGCTTTGGAAAGGAGCTTTCGATTGTTTTAATTGATGGAGGAATTGGACAGCAAACAGAAACACAGTCAAATAAATCAGCACTGCATTTTCACCACCTTTTCCATCCCCCAAAGCTAGTTTGGGAGCAGAGCGGCTTTGCAAGACTCGGGGAAAAAGCAAGAAAATTCCCCCACCTGTTTGCTTTTAAACAGGCTTTTTTTTAAAGGAAAAAAACAACAAAAAAACCTCGAAGGCTGTGAACAGCACCCGAAACCAAGCCGGGGTGTGCTATTCATGCACACACGCTATCCGAGGGGCAGGATCCCCCACTCCACACCCCACGGGGCTAAAGAGCAGCAACTCTCCGGACTATAAATTCCCAGATTCCCTGGATCTCACCAGCTCGGCTGTTATTGAGATGCAGGGAGCAGGGGAGAAGGTGACCGCCGACTCCATAAATATTATTGGGGGCGACGGGGCTGCGCGGGGCCGGCGGGCGCAGACAAAGCGCCCATTGAGCTGTCGGCAAAGGCGCGACGGCCCAGCTGCCGCGGGGAGCCAGGACGGGGGTCAAGGTCAGAGGTGGCCCCTGCTTGTATTATTCCCCCCCCCCAACCCAGCCCCTTTCCTCATGCCCATAAAATTAATAAAGTTAAACGGGTATCGCCGGCTCAGCGTGCCCACGGAGGATGCCGGGAGAAGCGGGTGCTGACGGCAGCAGCCACGTCGGTCATGCAGGAGGGGAAACTGAGGCACCGTGCAAGACCCCAGCATCGCACCCGCTCTGAGGGGGCAGTGCCGGTGTTTTTATCCCTTGGGGACCCTTTTGCGAATCTGTTTAATAACATATATGCTTAAAGGCTTGCAGACTTGACATCCCCAGCTCTGTGCTGGAGCGATCCCAGGACCATGCCAGCGTGGCCGGGGAGCCCATGGCCACCCCAAACCACCCAGCACCCCTGCCCTGTGCCCAGTTCTCCCTATGCCGAAGGTTTCTCCATATGGATGGAGAACCGGAGCTTTCAGCTGTGCGTGGGAGCTGCTGCAAGGGCAGCCTCCGACAGCCCCATCCACTCCCCAGGGCTGGGGGTTCAATCCTGCTGCCACATAAACTTAGATTTTTAAAATATTTTACTCCTTATTAAGCAATCCCTTAGCAACGCTTGTTTCCATGGCAAAGAGCAGAGAACCTCCATGCTGATGCTGAGCTTTGCCTTAAACTATAATTCAGCTCATTTTATTTGGGTGCTGCCCCGTGGGGCCAGGTCCCCAGCACCCATGGGGGCTGTCCACCCTGGGATAGACCACGGGTGCCTGTTCTGGGCTCCGAGCCAGGCTGGGGACACAAAGCAAGGGCCGTTTACCTGGGAAAAGGAGGTGTGCAGCATGTAGAGCCTCTTCTTGCAAAAAAAGAGGGCTTGGGGCACGCTGTGCACCCCAAAAAAGCCAGTCTCCATCCCCTGTAAGCCCAGCTCTGGAGCTCGTGTGGTTTAAAGGCAGAGCCGTGCCCAGCTGTGCAGCAGCCCAGGCTTCCAAAATTATGCTAATGAGCCCAGCCACCAGCAGGGCTGCAGGCTTTCCTTGCTTCCCTGCACCTCCAAGCCTTAATGAACTCAAGCAAACGAGGTGCAGGACACTGGGGCAGTGCTGGGTGCCAGCGGGTGCTGCAGCACCAAACGGAAAGGGAGGTGGGTGCTTTAGAGCCCGAGCTGGTGGGGGCTGGCACCGCACGGTGAGAGCTGCCCTTCGGGCAGCCTCGCTTTCCCAAAGGGGCATGGGAGTCACTTAAAAATTGGGATTCCTGCAAAAAATCCAAATGAAAAGGGTATTTTTTAGTTTTCAAAAATCCCACCGACGTTCCGTGCTCCGCTTGGCATTTTCGAAGAAATGGGTTTAATTCTGCTATCTCTATCCTCAGTGGAAAAAACTCCACTTGGGAGCAACGGCAGGTTCCTGGGACAGACCCTCCACAGGGACATTCCCTCCCAGAATCACCCAAGGTCCCCATTTTCCACCCCAGAGACCAAAATCAGCATTTCTGTGGGTGCGAGAAGCCCGGCAGACCTGGCATTGGTGGGTTTGCTCGTCTCCATCTCCCCGGGAGGAGAAAGGAAACTCTCCTTCCTCACCGCGCTTTTATTTTGCTGCAGTGGTAACGAATTCTTGCAGCGGTTCGTGCCCTGAAGGAGCCTTAAAACCTCCCAAATTTGACAGCCAAAAATAGCTATCGCTCTGCTTGTTTCCAAGTGTTCACTAGCCCTGATTTATTTACCCCAGTTATTTGAATCTGTCTCATGCTTTGAATCCCAAATCCTAAGCAGAATGGAAAAAAACCTGCATCTGTCATTTAGATGCTCTTGCACTCGTTGAACGGGGAGGGGGATTATCGTTTCTTCTGGCTGAAAGGGTGTCCCCTGTGCCGGGGTCCTGAGGAGGGCTGGAAAAGCTGAAAAAAATCATGGCTTTATCAACTCCTGGGATTTCCAAGCATCCGGACTGTGCGGCAGCTCCAGGGGTATTTTTCCCAGTCCTTAATATCCTTGTTTGCCGTGGGGGAGGCTGCCAGGACTGCGGGTGAGCAGAGCTCGGGGGGGACCCGTGGGCTGGATTACTCAGCGGCGTGGGAGCATTCGGCAGCAGAATTGCTGGTGGCATCCCCGTGCACCCTCTCTGCCCCGTGCCTGTGCTCCCCCATCCCGGAGCCCATCGTTGTGGATGCAGAAACCCCCGCCGCCTCCCTCCTCATCCCAGTTCCGACGTGGTTTTGTCCCCCGGGGTGCCAGCGGCATGCTGCTTGGGGAGTGCCGAAAAGCAAAACGCAGATTTTTGGTGCAGAAGGACCCGGGTCAGGTGTCCGTGGGGCAAATCCTGCACTGGGACACGGCCGGGACAAGGCTCCTGGTAGGCGGGGGGGCATCCGTGGGCTTTCGATCATGGCAAATCTCCTGGATTTTCTTCCCACTGGCTTGCACAGCCCAAATCTCTCTCCCTGATGGTATTTCAAGCCACCCGACACCCACTCTTAGCTCACTGTAGCTCTGTTTGGAAAGTTTTGAAATTCTGGGTCACTGGATGATTTGCACTCGATGATCTCCCCTGCTTGGGACCAGCATCTCTGGCACTGAGCACCCACCGGGCTGGGCTTGTGCACCGGCAAGGAGGGGCTCAAAACATTCCCAAAGCTGGGAATGAAGGGATGAAGGGCAGCGAGGGTGGATGGGGCTGCGGGGAGAGGAGGGTGCCCCCCATCCTCCTCATCTCCCCCAAAACAGGCTCAGCTTTTCTCATGTACATACACTTATGCTCGCCTCCGCCACGCTGCTGGAGAAGGGGTGAAATTAATCCCTATGGAAATTTATTTAAATGAATTCCCTGCCTGGACACTCAAGCTGTTCCCAGCCTGGCGAGGGCAGGGCAGACGGGGGAGGATGGAGTGCGGACCCCCCGGGCACCCCAATTCCCCCATTACAGCCACATCTCATGGGGGTTATTCCCCCCCAGGCAGTTGCCCCAGTGGTGCCGAGCCGTGCCACAAACCCAGATTTGGGCCCACAAACTGCCCCAGGGCTCCCAGGGGGTCACTCATGTCTTGCCCCCATGTTGGAGCAGGGAGAAGATGCCAGCAGCTCTCGCTGCACCTCGGCGAAAGTCAGGGTGGACATCTGAACAGGTTGGTTTTTGCCCCATAAGCTGTGGACCTTGGTCAATTCACTAGGGAAAAGAGAAATTAGCTGAGCATGTCAATAAATAAGAAATACTGGTTTTCCTGCCTAAAAAGCACCTTGGTCTATTAATTAAATTCACGCTATGTGCAGCAGCAGGACTGAGCCCTTCCCATTCCCATCGCACTGATTGAGCTGCTGAGATCCTCGTCCCAGCCCCAGCCATCCTTACGCCAGGCGCTTGCGCTGATGTTCGGCTCAAGTGGTCTCACCCCACGAGATAGGGGAGGTGTGGGGGGGGCAGACGGGGACCCCCTTGGCCTCAGGGAGGCAGAGCAAGAACCGCAGTGAACCCCAAGCTCCTGGGAAGCGTGGGCCCCCCCCCCCCCCGTGCGTGGCCCCGATTCCGTACGGCAGCAACGCAGCCGGCCCCGGAAAAGGGGATCCGAGGCATCTGCATCCCCCGGACAAGGCTCCTTTGAGATGGGGCACAGATGGGGTATTGTCAGCGCAGGCAAGGGGTGAGGGAGATCCGGGAAGAGGGTTTGAAGTGGGATTGTGATGGGAAAGGTTGGGTTTGCAGGGAGCTTGACCTCGCGGGGGACCTCCCCGACATCAAGCATCCACCCCGCGCCCCGGCATCTTTGCGGTATCCCGGAGGGAGAGCCCAGGCAGGCTCTGGCAAAACCCGAGCATAAAAGCATCGAGGAGGAGCTTTTCGGAGAGGAATATTCACGCTGAAGCATCAGGCGATCTCAGCACGTGCAAACGCGCTCACGCCTTCGCCAGCCCTGCGTGGGCATCCATGCGCACGGGTGGGGGATGCACGGTCCCCGTGTGCATCCAGCCCTGAGGGCGTCAGTGTGTTCGGGGTCGGGGGGGGGCTCGGGGAAAAGGAGGGTGCCTGCACTGATTCCCCACCCCACGCAGACCACGGAGGGAGGGGGACCTGAACCCCAAAGCCAGCAGAGCGCTGGTGGGGGATCAGGGCTGGGTGAGCCGGCAAGAACAGGCACTTCTCGGGGATTTATGCCATGCAGCACTTGTCAGCGCAGCTTTAGCACCCCATAAAGCAACGCCGAAGGCTGAACGTGAAGGGAGAACACAAAGACGCCCCGACTGGCCAATTAACGAGCAAATTCGGGCTCAGGCCCTGCAAAGCTGCGTAAGGGAAAGGCTTGGGGGGGTTGGAAATGCAGCCGTGGGGAGGACGGGAAAATGCAGGAGGAGACTGGAATTAGGGGAGGGGTGCGTGCACCGCGATGTGGCATGGCAGCCCCGGTGCAGGCAGCAGCTAACGCCATGTATGTTCATTTGCAGGCAGCTGCCCGGCAGCGCACCGGGGGCTTTGCTGACTGCACCCCACAGTCGGGACATCGGGACCCCCCACAAGCGACCGACAGCAACAAGGACTTGAAGAGGTGCCACCGCATGGCCGGGGGACAGCGACCTGGCACAAAGCGCGGCTCCCGGTAAGGATCTTTTGGAGCAGCCCACGGGAATGGGGTGGGAGGTGGGAACCCCACGAACCCCACAGCGGTGCCCAGGTCACCCCAGAGGTCTCACTGCTTTAGGAGCATCGCCTTAATGGACTTACAGGAGTTTTGCAGGACACAACTCCCTCCCCTGCCTGGGCGGGAGCTCTTCTCTCCATTAGACACCAGCAGCGATGTGGTTTTTCCTGCTCCTGCTGTCACCTGCCCTTTTTCAAGATGTCCCAAGCTGTCACCAACCACTTAAATACATGCTGGCCCCAAACTCCTGCCTATCTCCACCGCAGGAGGCTGGAGCCAAACCCTAATAGAAATGTCCCCAAGCACACGGTGGGATGGGGACTGAAATTATTCGGGCAGGGAGTTGGCGTTGCGGTGACACTGTCACCTCCTGGCCGTCCTGTGGGAACTCAACCCCGGTTGTCACTGGGCTGGGCCTGGGCTCACACCATTTTCTCCCATTAACAGGTGACATGAGCAGATGCCGTGGGGTCCGGGTGCCCGAGAAAGGCTGGAGAAAAGCAAGGCTGGGTTTGAAGCGTGGGCAGGATCCGTGCGGATGCCCTTCCCATCCCCAGGGTAAGGGCTTCCTCCCTCTTTTCCCATATAAGCAGCCCCAAGGCTGAAGGCTGACATGCCCAGGGGGTCCCACCCGGGGGTCCCCCCCATACCTTGGTGCTGGACGGGTGCACGGACCACGAGATGACACCCCGGGAAGCTGGAAGGACACAGCCACTGCCACCAAGCCCGAGGCACCGGGAGGATGAGGTCTGCAGCTCAATGAGGCGAAAGGGAAAAAAAAATCACACGCATTAAAGGTGTTCAAAGCCCCCAGCCGTGTTGCAGCCTGGTCTCCCTCGCGCCGCTGGTGTTTGAGCAGAATTTTGTCCCTTTTTCTTGCAGGACCCCCCAAATCCCCACAAGACCCGGTGTCTGGGGTGTGTTTCCTTCCCAGTGGGTCAAACTTTTATCTTGCCAGCCCTCTCCTTTCCCATGGTGGGAGGCGAGGAGTGCCCCGTGGGGGTCCCAGCCCCAGAGGGGACGATGTCCTGTCCCTTTTGGGCTGGGGGGAGGCAGGAGCAGCCCGGCTTTGGGCTTGGCTGGTGTGGGGACAGGCACATCTCCCCTCACCCTCACTCCCTCTTCTCTTTTCCACCCCAGACCTGGGAATCGGGTCCAGCCCCGCTTTGCTGGTCCACAGGTCTCCCCGGGGGTGGCCCTGATGGGGGACGGGTGGGACAGGTCGAGCAAACTGGGACCCGGGAGGGACAAACACCCAGCCAACACCACCAGCTCCCAGTGCACTGACTGGTTGCTCCAGCCCCAGCTGGTGCAGCTGGTCCTGAGACTCCCTCCAGCCCCACAGCTGCCGGTTTTCTGACTTTAAGTCAAATTTCAAGGCAAAAATAGAGCCTGGAGACCTGCAGCTCCAGGAGCAGACAGGGGATGATGCACAGCGTCACCGCAGAAGTTGGTGACTCCGGTTGCTCACTCGGTATCGGGATGCCGGAGCCGTGGAGCCAGTGCCAGGTCCAGCCGGCGTTGCTGCCGTGGTCCCCTCCCCACGGAGGGCTGCGAGATCCCACCAGTGTTTCTGGTGACCAGTTAAACACAGCGTGGGTGACGTGGGGCCAGGCTGGCTCCCCTGTGGATGTATCAGAAGGACGTCCTCGCCGAAATCCCTGCCTCCGAACCCCCCCCAGCACGCGCTCGCCCGCCACCGCCAGCGACCCAGACGCCCAAATATTGAGCTATACATTAAATTACCCTGGGGAAAGGGCCGGGAGGGAGCCGGAGCACGTCGGAGGGAGCGTGGCAGTTTGTTATGCTAACCGAGGGGGGCTCCGCTCAGGGGACGTGTCGGAGAGGTCTGAAGAGCAAGGAGTTCACAGGCCCTCTCCTTTTGTCATGCTAAAAGTGCAACACAGAAAATATATACAGGCAGCTGCTCAATGGACCGTGAAATACAAGTGATTTCTCCGGGAGCCCTGGGTAATGCGATGCAGCCCGGACAATGCCCGCCACCGCCCGCCGCCGCCTTTGTGCAAAATGGGAAACTTCTGGGGGGGGTGTGTGGAAATGGGCACAGACCAGCTCCAGGCATGCCAGCTGCCCCCAGCATCGCCCAGAGGTGGAAAGTCCTCGAGTCCATCCCTAGCTGCAGTGCCCATGGGGTCCCCCAGCTATGGGACCAGTGGGAGCCCAGTTGTCCCAGGTTGGGCTCCGGCTCAGTGGGTGCCGTGTGGCTGCCAAACCCCAGTCCTTCAAGGAAATATCGCTCCGGTGTGTACGGGGACCATGCTGGGTCTGGCACCCCCTTGCCGGGCGCAGGGCCGGGGTCCCCCGTTAATTCAGTGACTTTACAGCAGCACCGACAACGGCCCGTCGCAGCAGCTCCCTTTGCTGATGCTAATTTGGGCATCTCGGCAGGAGCGGTGTAAAATCAGACCTCAAAGGGGCTTTTGTGTCCTGGGGGAGGGCGGCTGGGCTGGGGGTGCTCTGAGCATCCATCTTCCACCTTTCCCTCCTTTTTTTGTGTCTCGGCGGAGCTGAAAGCCGACGCCGTGGGGGCTGCGAGGATCCTGGGGCCCTGCATTTGTTCCAGAGAGGCGCAGCCACCAGTTTGGGCAGACCCTGTGGCCAGTGCTGCGCCCCCGTGCAAGGGCTGGGGGGGTCTGGGGGTTCGGGGGGTGGGGCACAGGCTCTGCCCAGCCAGCAAAGGTGATGGAGCAGGCTGCTCCCCGGACCCTGGCTTGGCTCGCAGTCGGGGGCACCTGACAGCCAGGATCAGGCCACTTGGGGCTGGCTGGGAGAATTTTTGGAATCACAGCCCCTGAGTTCTCCCCCCGCCGTCAGCGGAGGGGCTGCTCAGCTCCCGGCCAAAGCTGGCATGGGGGCACACGGGGGGCTGCATGCCCGGGCTGCTCTGGGGGGGTGCTGGGGAAGGGCAGGGGGACGTGGTACCCCCCAAGCCTGGGTACCCCAACCCACGGGGGATGCTCGGGGCACGGGCGGGAAGCGACATCTAGCGGGAAGCGCATCCCGTTGCCTGGGAGATCGATATCCATGGCAACCCCTCGGGGCCACCAGCACCCTGCCTGGACCAGGAGCACCCACTAGCACCCACAGATGCCCCCCACACCCCGTTGGGTGCTCCTTGCAGGGCAGGGCTGTCACGGTCCGAGGTAACCCCGAGCTCGGATGAAATGCCTGCAGACCCCCGCCGTGACGCAGGCGCTGGCGCTGTGGTGGGCCCTGAAGCCCCTTACCCACCGTCAGCCGGGACGAGCTGCACCCAACGGGCTCTGCCCTGGCCTCGTCCACCATCGGCTCCTCCGGTGCTCACAGGGAGATGCGGCTGGGCAGCAGCGAGGGGATAAATGCAGGAAGGGAGCCCGTTTCTTTCGCAAGGAAGACGTGGGCATAAGGACGAGGTGGGCAAGATGCTTGCAACCTTGTCCTCCAGGGAGAGCACCGGGGAGGGGAAGGTCCCAGCTCACCCAGGACGGAGGAGGACAGGATTGAGCCACCCAAACCCCTGTGCCCTCCCTTACCCCCAAAATTCAACGCCCGGGGGCTGCGTGCAGGGATAGGTATCGCAGAACCTCAACCCGAAGGGGCCCTTCAGGTGCAACGGCACACCCACATGCATGCACATCTATACATAGGAGGTGCAGCCACGTCCACATATATGATTTGTTATCTATATATCCACGCGGCCGCTGCTGCGGCTGTGCCGGGACTCGAACCCGTAACCTCCGGACAGCGCCGGGGACCACAGCTCCCAGGAGGCAGCGCCCGCGGAACTAGGCGCCGCGGAGAGCCCCGCCTCCACCCAGCACCGCCTTTCCATTGGCCGAGAAGCTGCCAATCAAAGTGAGGGCGGCGGCGGATTGGCCGGCGTGGGGTGGCGGCGGTGGCGGGTAAGCTTCCTGCGGCCGCCTTTGCATTGACCCCGGCATGGTGAGCGCGGATCGGGGGTGTCTGCCCGGGGGGGCTGGCCCCAGGGGTGTCTGCCCGGGGGGTGCATCTCCAGGCTTTTTTGGGAGGGTGCACGCCTGGGG